CAAAGAAAGAAACAGAAAAAAAAATTGTCAGCCATAGTATCTTCCAAAACCCAAAACTGAGGTCAAAGAGTAAAAATGATTTCTCCTCCTTCTTCTCCCCTACTTACTTACTCCCTGTATTGCTTTTCAAGTGTTTCCAGTAAAACTAGTACAATAGAAAAATACAGAGGAAGACCATGCAGACAGTCCTCATGAGACGTGATAGGCTAGGGTCAGTTGGAAGTCCCGGGAGGAGGACCTCCCCTATTAGTGGACTTGGGGAGGGGCATAGGAGGAGATGAGGGAGGAAAGGGTGAGAATGGGAGGGGACGAGGGAAGCGGCTATAGCTGGGATACAAAGTGAATAAATTACAATAACTATTAACAAAAAGATATTGAAAATACAATTCCAAACACCTCTATTAGCAGTTTCTTACTATCTGTGCCTTTTTCTCAGTGTCCCCTCCAACCCAATCTGTGACCCTCAATTTGTTTTCCAGCGAAATTAGCTAATGACCTTAATCTACAGTGATGCTGCCATCACTTTAAGTTTACTTTTTTCCCTGCTGAGATAACATTCTCTAAGTCTCAGCTCAGGCCACATCTTTCAGCATTCTATTTTAATATCCTTATTGTGTTTTAAAGAATTGTGATGTGGTGGTTCATACCCATTCTTTTGGCTTTTCTTTGTTCACTGACTTCAAAATTTTAGTGTTATTTTTTATTCAATAAAATAAGAAAGGTATTTTCCAATGTAGGAAAGAATAATTTTGATAATTTTTGAAAACTGCAAATATGATTTTCTCTAGAGTCAATTTATTTTTAGAAACCCAACTTAAAACAGAAGTTACAGAACTTCTGGCCTTCATCACTTTCTTTAAAAACTAGATGGAATTATATAAGAAGTGTGGGTGAAGAAGAGTCAGAGTTTTGAGTACTTTTGTTTTATAGGTGAGAAAGGGATTTATTTGGCTTACATTTTGAGTCAGTCCATCACTGAAGGAAGTCAGGACAAGGACTCAAGCAAGAACTTGTAACAGAAGCTGTGGAATAACACTGCTTTTTGGTTGATTTCAGTTCATGCTTAGCTAACTTTCTTGTAGCATCTGAGGATTACCCTCCCAGGGAATGCAGCACAGACAGTGGGCTGGAAACCCTTCATAAAACAGCAGTAAAGACACCAACAGGCTTGTCTATGGACCAGTGTGACCTAGGTAGCATTTTGATTAAGACTCCTTCCTCAAATGGCTCTAGGGTGTGTCACATTGACAACTAAGCTAACTGGGACAAAATGCTAATACACTGGCTATTTAACTTTACATACTTGAGTACCATTCTTAACCAAAAACACACAAATACATAATTTGGATACATTTGTCAAACATCCTGAAATTAAATTGCTGCTTAAATATAATAGATATCTCTATATACACATTAATTAACACAACAGAAAATTGGATATGATGGAAATATTTACATTAGATCTGAAGGTAATATAAAATCTAAGTATATCTAAGGTATTTGTAAATTTTATATTGTTATATAAATTCTGATATAATATTTCTGTGAGTGAATTTTGGTACTCTTGCTTTTCTCTCTCTCTTTCTAGCGCTCTCGCTCTCTTACCTGTTGCATGATGGCCAAGAGCTGATTCCAATGAACCTACATTTATATACTTTTAACTTGTCTTACATCAGAAGCAGTCCAATGACCTCATTCCTGCCTTGCCACCCCTTCCTCGTTCCTAATTTTTTTTTAATTAAAGAAAAAGGGAGAAATATTAGCCCACAGACTGCCTGCCTGTAGGTTGCCTACCAGCCTCTGCTGCCGTCAGCTGCCGTGGAGGTATGCATGGATAAAAGCAGCCTGCTGACTTGAGCAAGCTCTCTCTGACTCTCCTTCCTGGGGTGCCCCTCTCCTACTGTCTCTCACAGTCTCTCTCTGCCTCTTTCTCACTCTGCCCTTACGGCTCAATAAAACTCAGTGCCACACCCACTGCACGGCAGCTAATATTTATATCATAACACAAACGTTGGGGAAACAGCTAGAACTCAGGCTGGCAAGGAAGCATGAACTGTGTGGCCAAGAGCTTGCACTGTAGATTTTGTACTGAAAGAGATAGGATCTTAAAAAAGCGCTGCCATGTAGGGAAACTGTATGAACAGGTCTGATTTCCTAAGGTGACCATTTCTACAGGTAGTAGGAAACAAGGAAAGAAAGATCAGAGGTAAGAAAATACTGCAGCAGACCAAGTGACAGATGCGGTAGGCCCAAGCTAGCAGTGGGAACAAAGACAGACTCCAAAGATTTCTGAAGCGGCAGGTTTTCCTGAAACGTATTGGAAAGATTCTTGACAGTTCCAAAAATTCCATTTCTTCCTTGTCTTCAGAAACAAAAAATGTAAGATGTAAAGTTCAGCGGAGCTTTTATCTAACCACTGGTCTTCAGAATTTACTACTGTCTTGTTATACAACACATAGTCAAGGGACCAGTAACAACCATGTTACCTGGGAGCATGGCTTTTATTTATTTACGCGTATGTGAATATGCATGTAAGTGCCCTAGAAAGCCAGACAAGGATGTCGCATTCACTGGAGCTGGTTTTCCAGGTAATTGTGAGTCACCTAATTTGGGTGCTGGGAACTGAACTCTATACCGTGGGAAAAGCCACAAACTCAGTCTTCTGTCAGCGCCTGGAGACTAATTTCAGTATATAAGCTATATGTGCATTAAACTTTGATAAATACTTTCTGAGGTTACACAAAAATAACTCCCTAAATCGGTTTGTAAAAGGCCAGGGCCACAGCCACTTTGGAGCACCGTCTAATCTACCCTGCGTAGGGTTGCTCGGTTGGCCATTTGCTGACAATTCAGAGTTTGGATGGTAAATATTCATTTCATCTCATCACTCCCTTCCAATTTATGATCACACACAAATTGCTACAATACAGAATCCCAGAGCTACCCTTCCTGAGCACATTTGCTTGTACTAGAGCCAGCACTTTATCCTGAACACTGAAATAGTCAGGACAAAGGACAGACAACAGCAATAAGAAGATTGTTACTATAATTAAACTAAATTCATCACAATAAACATATAACAAACCAAAGAGCAATTCCATGAACTGTTCCACTAATTTCTTGGTATTCCACTAATCCCATATGCAGAATAGATCTGAAATTTTGTTTTTCCTTCACCTTCCATACACTTCATATGTTAAGAATGTAAATTCCCACATGTATCCTCTGATAGCTAATTCACTTCTCCAAGGGCAAGAATAACAGTATTTGATTCCTTCGATTACTTAATTTTTGTGTTGTTCTTGAGTACTATAATTCACTTCCCATCAGCCTTTCAGGTTAGATATCTTAATCTGGATGATTCACAGCTCAGCTGCTGTATTCCCACCTAGAGCTGCCTTATTAGCATTCCAGCGGTGCTTGCCAAAACAATCAAGGCCCAACAAGCTACACTTAAATCAAGTTGTGTGGAAAAGTTGCAAGGAAAGCAGAAATAGGCTCACATTTGAGTTCCCATAAACAGTGGGCAAACTTGGAATGATGTCTGTTTAAACCTTCGAGTAGCATATGATTTCATCTCTGGGAAAAACTGATAATGATTACTTCCGAGGTGAAACATCACCTTGGGTGTATGACTCCAGGAACCAGAGACCAAAATAAAATGAATGGACAAGTGATAATATCCTCTCAATTAATTTTACTAAAATGTGGTTCCTAAATATCAAGTCTCTTTAAAATGTCATTGTATAATAAGAAGACAAGCTGTACTGCCTGGATGGCTTCACATATTTAGTTTTATACTTCAGGGACAGCTTATACAGGAATACTTAATACTGGTTTATTTTTTCTAATAAGTGCCTTCATTTGTTTTTGCTGTTCCATGCCTTATTTTTTCTTTATTATTTTTGTTTGTTTGTTTATTACAATTTATTCACTTTGTATCTTGGCTGTGGCCCCCTCCATCTCCTCCCAGTTCACCCACCCTCCCTATTCTCCTCCTATGCCCCTTCTCTGGTCCACTGATGGGGGAGGACTTCCTTCCCTTCTAACTGACTCTAGTCTATCAGGTCTCATCAGGGCTGGCTACATCATCTTTCTCTGTGGCCTGGCAAGGCCGCACTCCCCCCCCCCCCCGCCCCCGGCCGGGCCCCCCCCCCCCCCCCCCCCCCCCGCCAGGGTGAGGTGAAAGCCAAAAAAACCTGGGCCCAGGGGGCCTACAGAGAGCTATACTCCAACCAAGGACCATCCGTGGAGAGGATGTAGACCCCTTGATCAGAGGAAGCCCATCGGTGGCTCAGTTTCTAAGTGGGTTCCCTAGTAAGGGGAGCAGGGGCTGTCTCTGATATGAACTCAGGGGCCATGCCTTATTTTTAAATTGAGTGTAGCTGAATTCCATTGAAAGATTTGGCTGAGGACCTAAAGGATTTTGTTTAATTTTTACTGAGCAAAATCCAGAATGTTAGTCAATAAGCATTAGATATTAATCGCACATGAGTGGAAACATTAATTTTTTTTCTACCTTCCAGAATTCCAGGTCAGTGAACTCATATAATAATCTATTTTGTAAGCTCAATAAAATTTTATTTAAAGGTTTCCCTTCCTGTCCATCTAGGTCACTGGGGTTCAAGATTTCTGAAAATAGCCCTTTCTCAAAGAAAGATGTGTACGCCAATTGTGCTACCAGCTCTTTATTCTTTTCTCTGTCCTTGAGTTAAGGACACACGGACAGGGCAACCTCGAAGTTCTGCACTGGAGGACTTCTGGCAATTTATTCAATTTACTCTAGGAACCATTTTAACACAGTCCTCTCACTTGATGACACCCCACGTCTCTGAAGAGCTGTGCTCTCTTGTTCATTCTGAACTCACCCAGAATACTAATCTGTATGCAGGACATGCCAGTACTACACAGAAACAAGCGTGCATTCACAGGTGCCTTTGGCCCAGCCTCCGAGTCAAGATAGGCTCCATTACCAACACTGCCATCCCTTTGTGCTATCTTATATTTTTCCTTGTATACATCAAAACTCACACTGAACAATGAATTCTGCCCTACAAAAGAGGATTTCTTTTTGTTCCTGCCTAACCTACCTTCGTCCACTAGTTGAACAAACACCCCCACACTCCCCCACACACAAATGCTATCATGTAATAAATAATCTTTGTGATGTTATAAAAGTCATCATTTTCATATTCTTCCAAGAAGCTGTTAAACTGCCAGCGGAAGATCACGGTGGAGTGCTGAGAGTGTCTGTATCTGCTGCTATATATGTAACTTTGAATCTCTCTCTTAAAACTTTGTCAAGTCGGCCTTTCCAGCAACAGTAGTTTTCATTGCTTAACAGTTTCTGGCTATGTTTTTAATATGACAAGCAGAAGCTTACTCTTTTATTAAATGCTAACTTTATAGAAAATTAAAGCATAAATGCACTATTTATACTGCAGTTAGCAACAGTAATTTGTGACAATCAAGGCAAATCCATTCAGGGAAAAAATTAAACCAAATCACTCCTCTAAATTATTGTTGCTTTTCTCCCTTCCTTGTCTGGTAACTACTTCTCATCTTTGACTTTGAAACCCATCAGTTTAAACTTGGTTCTTATTCCAGTGGGCTAATCCCCTTTCATAAATCATGCTCGAGCGCCGAGGTAATTTGCACATCGTTTAAAGAGTATTTGCTTTGAAATCTTCACCTCAAGCCCTTTTGTATATCCTTTCTCTCTAAAGATTTGTAGTATTTGTTTTGTTCTCTGAGGTATAAAAGACCTGGATAAACTTTATTCCTGTTGTTTCAAGATTAGTTAACTAAAATGCATATTAATTCAGCAGGGATGGGGACAAATCTCGGTAAAGATGATCACGCATGTGCCCCCGGGAATAGCAGAGTACAAAAACGTCAGTCTTCAAATCTCCTTGGACTTGCTCAAAGGAGTAGTGGGGGATTTAGATTTCTAGAATATGTCTACAAATGTAATTTCTTTGTTGTGGAGAACAGGAGCTATAGTGATTACTTCTCCCCAGAAAATTGATTCTAATTTATATTGGAACAAAAATTAAGCTGTCTACAAAGTAGTTCTTCAAGAAGACAGGGAGAAAGTACAACAGGAAAGATACATCCAGTACTAAACATGCCCTATATGCTGCCGGTTTTGTTTGTCTGTTTACTTATATATTTATTTATTTTCTCATTTCAAATCCCAAAATGGAGCTCAGCAGTAGAACAGCTATTTCCTTTCTCTCTACGAGAAAAGGTGAAATTGGACAGACGTCACAAAATCAGAAATAGACACATGTTGGTAGAGTTTGGTGTTGTTTTTACACTTACAAACTAATATTTTCCCATTTCCTAGAAAACTCATCAATTGATACTGATTTCTATGGCACTGATCTCTGAGAATGTTAAGGTTTTTCCTGATACCTTCTGCAACAAAAAATGACCAGAAACTTCTGGCACTTAGATGCTTATCTGAAAGTCACTGGGTGTAATAGAAGGTAATAATTCACTCGCGTAGATTCCCAGCTACCCACATTCTTGTTCCACTTTTCCTCCTTACAAGTGTAGGAATAGATGGTTCCCCAGGCCTCAGGGTGCCAAAGTTTGCACCATTAGGAAAATCTGCAAGTAGCTTGATTTATCTTCCCCACTCAGTTAGCTAAGACCCAGCTAAATAAAACTCAGCAGGAACGAGCTTGACTTGTTAAACTTTTTTAAATAGGGAGATGCGACAATTACAACTTTCCTTCTCCACTACTTGAGTTTCCATCGGAAGTGAAGCCCCTGGTGAAAGATACTCAGACAAGATCCCAAATTATAGGTGCATGGCTGATGATGCTGAGTTTTGAGTTTTCATTATACACAGAGGGTTGTCTGCCGTTTGCAATTAATCTAGGCACAATCCTCTTGGTACTTTGGGAAGAATGTGGAAGACATAGCCATTTTATAAGTTGTAAACTCCTAAATTACCTTAAATTAGAGACGCTATTAATCGGACACTTAAAGATAGGATCTGCCTATTGTGTAGGCTCATCTTCCCCTGATGGAGAAATCAATTAAATATTTAGGATGTGGAATACCTTCCAGGTTGGATAATGGATTTCATTTAAATTATGTCCTCCAATCCAAAACATTCAAGGGGATCTTAACGGATGGAAGCACATTACTGTTTCCTGGATTGGGCACATTAACACTTTAAAAATGAATGTGCTTCCCACGATTTCTTATTTGTTACACCAGCTGCCTGTTGATGTGCCAAGTAAACAGTTTAAAGATAAGTGTGTAAAAGATGCATATGTAACTCACTGTGTGATGAGGCACACCCTTATAGGAACAGTCCCCAACAGATTTATTTCTCTCAATGCCCCAGCAACTTTCAATGAGCAGCCAGCATTTGATCATGGGACAGTGGAGAGAAATGTACAAGTGAGGCAGTTAGAACCCTCACAAAAGTTCTGTTCATTTAATTGTTCTAATTCTACTTGAGTATCATGTCTTCATATGAAGGTATAATTCATCTTAATAAGTAAATAATAAGTGATTACTATAAGAAATCCTGGGACAGTGAGGTGAAATTTGAGACAGGCGTGAGCATTTTCATCGAGTAACCGTAGGACATAGTAGAATCCTTTGATTCTCGTTCATGGGTTATGGCTGTCTCACATCATGAACAGTGTTGTTAAGAACAAAGTTGTCGTGTCCTCCACAGCAGAGAAACACTATATAGAAATAGTTTGACATTTTTATCAGCTCTAAGCAATAATCCAAACACTAAAGAGCTCTCTCTCTTTTAATCCTGTTACTTTATTATATAATGCGTGATTATTGCCTCCCTTTTACTTATTTGGACACGGAAGTGTCCTTAGTGTGCCCGAAGCCACACCATGGAAGCCGAGTATGAATTTGAAACCATCTAGCAACACATTCCAGCCCTGCCACCAGGTTCTGTGATACTCCTGACTTGAGGGGTGAGGCCAAGGGACAGTTTACCGCCTGTCCCTCTCACTTTCTTAATCTCACTTGGGCTCTGTTTTGTAATTTTTTTTTAAATGTCAATAATGATTGTGCCCACCTCACAAAGTTATTTGGAAGCGTAAGTTAGGTTAAATAGTTTATAAGAGGGTCTGACTCAATAAAGGTTAAAAACAGCATTAGTACAAGTATTTAGAAAAGTATTCATAATTTGGTTAACAAAAGGATGTCAGAAAGATAAATGACTAAAATCTCCATAAATTACCATACTTTCCGAAATGATCTTGGGATTTTGGAGGCAAAAGTTTATTGACGGATAAACTTCTTGATATGGGTTATATCACTCATTCATTTTCCTTCTACAAAGTCTTTATTCACAATTAACAACATATTTAACATAAATATGTTAGTACACTAAGTTTAAACAAATTTAGCCAATCAGAAAGCAGGAATATGAAGACAGGTATATTACTTGTTTCTAGAGCAAAGCTCTTTACTATAAATCTGATAGAATGGGACTTTTCTTTGCACAGGCCTTACTACGTAATCTCAGAGGAGAGCAAAAAGCCCAGCCTACTAGCATAATTCTGTAACTTTGGTTGCCGTATTTTGGGTGCTAGGCTTCTGAAATGAAATATGGAATTACAAGGTTAAATGAAACTGCAAAAATTTAACTTAAAAGGAATTATTTGTTAGCATTTTGATGAGGAGTGAAAAGAGAAAAGAAAGCAAATTGATCTTTTCAAAGTTAGGTGGCAAGAATGTCTCAGTAGGCTTCCTATGTAATCACTGTCACTGAGAGGCTGGAGGTCTCTTATTTGCTAGTAATTGATACCTACTCTTCAATCTGAAGTATAGAAGACAACCTATGCTTTAAGGGATTATCTAGAAAGGAACTACTCTCCTGCTTTTCACAACTGAACTAAGTGTGTAGTCAAGCAAGGTTGAATCACACACAGATATCATTACTTTCACAATGTTTGGGAATATACAGATAATATCTGAATCTAGTATTAAATTAACCCTGACTAGCAACCTGCTGAGCCGACTTAGCGTTGCTTGCTACCTACACATTTTAAAGACTTAACTACTTGGCATTGGATAACCAATTAGGGGGCTCATCCCTGGGGAAGACTGATTTTCCCTTTCTCCGTAGTCGTTAATTGCCACTCTCTGTAAAGGGTAGGAAACCATGTCATTTCCCTTACTCGTAATGTCGGGTCAACTGGTATTGTCATTGTTTAGTCAACCTTATTGTTAAGTTTTGTAAGTATTGTAAGTATAGCTTCCCTGTCCTACACAGAAGATACAATCTTGCAGCAAACTTTGTGGTTCTGTGGCTTTTCTGTTTGCCTCCTCTGCCATGATATTTGATGTTTCCTGGGCCTTAGATGCAGGGGTTGTGTATAGGATTATCAATTTGGCCTTGGCACCCCATGGTCAGTTGTTTTCTGCATTGCTACTGAAGACACAGCACCCCAGATACAGTCTGGATCTGAATCCTAAGCCTACTTTCTGAGGACTAGTTTTCATACTGTAAGGTTTAATGCAAGTTGCCAAAAGAGAAAAGCAATCAGTACTCCTATCCAACTATGACACCTATAAACCACGACAATGACCAGCATGACACAGCATCCCCAAAAGTACAATAGTGGCATTTATTTCTTGGTGATCTGCAACAGCTAAGGATTTGGACTTAAGGCCCACTCAAAAGGAAGAAATTCCTGCCTGGTACTAGAAACGTAGATAACTCTCAGTGGCTGGCGAGGCCATGGACCTACAGAAAAACTCACTACTACCGGTTCTCCAAGGCAGCATAATTTCCAATTGTGTTTTAAATCCTCATGCCCACAGGTAAGTGTAGTCTCTGACCCTCTTCAAAGAAGATTCATTTTTTTGGGAGACAGAGACAACTAGAGAAAACCATAATTTGTTAGCCTGTATAATTTTAAAGGGAAAAAAATGACAGAAATATAATCAATACAATGACAAATTAATCAGAGATAGCAAAAACATTTAAGATTATTTCAAATTAGATATTTAATTTTTCTATTGTCTTAACAGGTTGAAATAAGTTTGAAAACAATATTATACAAAAAAAGTGATATGGCAAAATAAATTTCCATAAAAGAAAAAAGTTCTCCTTACATGGCAAACA